ATGAATGAGAATTAATATCTTCACAATACAAGAGAGGTTTCGAATACATCTTCGTCAGAAATATTCGAAACCGTTCAAATACATTCCTTGTATTGCGAAGATATCCATTCTCATTCATACTTTTTCTATATTTATCAACATGAATACAGTTCATTGTTAGAAATATTTAATTCCTCCCATAAAGGCTGTGTCACACTAGCACTTTTTCCACATTACTTTTCCGCTGGCACCACGGAAATCGTGGTCATTTTGGCTCGCCCAGTCACCACGAAAACAGTCCGACCAAAATTTTAAACACAGAAAGATGGCTCCAACCCCTGCACAGGCTCTGGCGACGTTATTCTGGCTATGTGACGACGATTTAATGCGAAACAACGAATTTATAAGGTTAAATAAGGGCGTATTTTTGCTACTCTCATCTAGTCAGCTGACGGGGACAAATGTAAACAAACAGGCGAGCGCTAGTTACAAACGTATCCGTTTTTATTAAATACAAGAGAGAATTTTGCCAATTTTAAAATATCATTTACAGTTTAGACTGTCTTTTTGAATCGTTTTATATTATAATATATATATTTTTACATTACTATAACGATTATCTATTATAGTTTATCATTTGAACGAAAAAGACGACGGAAACTTGCCAGCGTAAACGATAATTATCGATTGACTGGAATTTATCGCATTCACCCAAAATACAAGCGGTAGCGAGAAAAAAGCACAAAAACACGGAAACGTCAAAGAACCACGGAAATTGTGCTAGTGTGACACCCCCTTAAAACTATTCCATCAAGTTCCAAATCCCTCGAACCAGGTCTGTCTGTGTTCTGGACGGAGGCGAGCCGGCGGGGCTTCTCCCTCCAAGACGTCGCGAAGCTCCTCTCCGCCGGCCCGGCGTCCCAGGCCTCTCTCGCCGACCGCAAGGGAGCTCTGAGGGAAGGCTACGACGCGGACTTCGTTATCTGGGATCCATCGAAGACGTTCACGGTGCGTTTTTTTTTTTATCTTTTATTTTACTATTCTGATTTCGTTTATTCGTTTATCTTTAGAAATAATGGGAGATTGAATACTGATCTGTATGTGGATATGGTGTAAAATTAAAAGTTTTCTGTTTGTACATTTAATAATTTAGTTCTGAAAATAGCTCTGCCTGGAAACCAAGTTCTGAATTATAGTTTTACTTATAAACCACGGAATAGATACTGTAAATTCATGAATTCACCGAGACATGCTTACTGATATTATTTAGTTGTATATATCATAATCATACATTAAAGAATTATGTGATTATGTATATCGTAAATTATTCACTTACTGATTACACACATTTATAAATTAATCAAATAAATTATAAATCATAGGTTGATTCTAGATTATGTGATTATATATATATATATAATATATATATAATATATATATATATCATAAATCATAGATTATTTATGAATTATGTAACATATTATGAATTCATAAATACCCCGAAACTTATTTTTGTCCGCATTGGAAATATGTAATTATATACATTATAATTGTATAGAAGTAAATTATATAAGGTATTACTCTGTTTAGAAAATTCATTTGATGTCCAGATTAATTAACATGCAATAGTTAATATGCAGGTCTAATAAATCTCGTTAGTGTGTCCTTTTTATTCCTATTGTGATGTTCTTAATATAATATTAATTGTAATCGTATTAGTTCTACGAAATGTTTCTCCCTTTTCTTTAGGTCCTCGAATCAATGATTCACCATAAAAATAAGGTAAGACTATAGTTACAGCAATTATTATTATCACTATTTTAATTGTTTAATTACCTTAAATTTTATTATAACCTGCATTTTAGTTATATATTTCATTTCAAAACAACCGGATGAATAATACCTGTATAATACCAATACGATCTCAAGCAGATTTCGCCTTACATTGGGAAAACCTTGAAAGGGAAGGTTCACAAGACTGTTCTCCGCGGCACCGTCATCTATGACAAGGACAGCTTCACGGAGTCGGCACCTCGAGGCTCCTTCGTGTTTGCTTCGAGGAAAAATAAAAATACGAGTATGTTGTAAGATCAGGCAGTTGCTTTGGATTCGCTCAGAGCATGATGTGATTTCTGTGTTTGTAAGCTGCTTAGACCCTGGTGTGAGGTTTTCTCTTCTGGAAATGAATCGACGTATATTTTGTTCGTCCAATAGCCACTGAGATGGTATTGAGATGAAACATGCAATGAGCGGTACTATTTTCCATAACTGCGATTTTTTGTTATCTGTTTTATTACTGAAAAAAAAGATCTCTTGCCAGTGAAAACGATTATTATCAAAATTCTGACCAAAATTTGTATCTTTTGTGTATTTCCCTTAACTGATTATTCTGAAATGGAATCATCGCATCATAAAGAATGCTGCTGTCTATATTTACTGGATGAAGGGACTTATTCTGTATACAAAATGAAGGACCTGTTAAAGAGATCAGCATGTCACTGAATAATAAATAAAATTCATA